TATAAAAAAATAACACATAAAAATAAATAAATAATATGAAAAATACTTAAAATGCATATAAATACGTTAAAAATATATTTATAAATTTAAAATACATAAAAAAATGTAAACAGATATGTATGAAAACTTAAATAAATATATAAATATGTAAAAATAGATATAAATACATAATACATAACAAAAATAACACATAAAAATATATAAAAAAAATATGTAAAATGCTTTAAAAAAAACATATAAATACATAAAAAAAATACGTTTATACATTTAAAATACATAAATATATACATATAAAAACTTAATAAGTAAAAATTGATATAAATACCTAAAAATGTATTTATACATTATATATAAGTTTTGATGAAATCTGTAGAAAAGTCTCATTATTTTGAAAAAATTAACGATTTGGTCTGATGACCTGCCGAAAGGTCAAAAATATTGAAGTGAATAAATTAGTTGGTTTCTTGAATTTTTCTACTTAAAATTTTAAAAAGATGGGACTTTCTGTTTAAAAAATAAAACTTAGGATTTTATTAAAAATTTTCCTAAAATATTGGGATTTTTCTGAAGAATTCTCTACTTCAATCTAAGACACCAATTATCAACCAAGTTAATAAATTAAAATAATAATAATGAGAGAGGGAAGAGAGAGAAAATTGATTGATTTAAACTACACACAAAAAATATAATAAAGTGTATGATATAAAATGCAGATCAAACAAAAAGATATATAATGGTTGGACTCTACTTGGAAACCTTACTCGTTACACCTCCAACTGCCGATCAATAGAACAAAGTGAATCTTTAATGGTAGACTCGAAACCTTAAACAAGATGTCGCTGTACAATGGGATCAAACTCATACGCTCTAGCACTTACAATGCTAATATAGTTTCTAACACTATGTGCCTTAATGCAACCTACTTAAAACATCCACTTAAATATTTAATCCTGTGTTATTTACTAGATGTTTTCTCACGTTTATAATAAGATGTAAAGGCAATACCTTCTGGACTTTAAGCGACACTTTCTAGAATGTCGTATTTCATGCTAGACCAGTGTGATACTTTTCTGAGCCTTAATGCAGCCTTCTAAAATGTTTCGTGCTATGGGAATTTCTTTTATTAAGCTCCTCATTGAAATTTAGTCGCAAAACACGATGAGATTGTTAGTCCAAGATGCAATTTTGGTTTGATAATCATTAAAACAAAGTGAGATTAGTAGCAAACGCACCAACATAACCCATCCTAACTAGATAAAAAACAATATATAACATATTTCCAACAACCAACACAACATATAATGAGTTTGTTTTTAAGTAAATTACACAAATGGTCCTTATGGTTTTGGGTAATTTGCACGCTTGGTTCCTAACTCATTTTTTTAACTCGGAAGGTCCCTACTGTTTGTTTTTGTTACACGCTTGGTCTCTACAGTTTGTTTTTGTTACGCGCTTGATCCCTATCTTATCTAAAAAGACTATTATTTAAAAAGGAAAAAATGGTGAGGTAGGTAAAGTGAGGTGAGGGGGTGGGGTTGGGGATGTGTTTATTTAAAGAAATTAGAAAATCAAGGGCAAAATAGTCTTTTTAGGTAAGAAAGGGACCAAGCGCGTAACAAAACAAACAGTAGGGACCTTCCGAGTTAAAAAATTAAGTTAGGGAGCAAACGTGCAAATTACC